CAGGACACAGTCCCAGGCAAGCCATCTCCACAAGAAAATAACCTCATTTGCTCAAAAGAAAAGAAAAGGTTAAACTGTGAAAACTCAGGCAAGAAAATAACTCTTAAGCCATCAGCCTCATTTCTCCTAATTAAGTCAGAACGCTTTTCAAACTGTGCTGATCAGGATTTATTCCAGCCATCATCCCTGAGGAATTCAGCGGTGGCTGAGAGAGGAATGTAACAACCGGACAAGACTCTTGACCCGACTTCTGGAGACCAAACAAGAAGAGACGCAAATGGGCCTAGCTTTCCCCGACGGGTGATGGGTTGTGGGGTGGGGCTCAGACTGACTGTATAAGGCAGAGAGAACAACAACTCAGTCAGCTTCCCACAGCCACCAAACACCCACTGGGAGCAGGCCCTGTGCTAGAAGCTTCAGCAGCAGCATGAGACCAAGCAGGTAGTTAAATGACCAAAGCCAACTGGCTGAGAGCAATGGGGAGTGGTGGGGATTGTGGCAAACAGGAGAGCACACACTCCCTCCAAAGGGGGCAGCTGTAGCACAGCTCCTGCCAGTTGCTGCCAGTACCACACTGAGACGAGAGCAAGGGATGCTCCTGCTCTCGGCCCCATGCTTTGAGGGTCCCTGCTCTGTTCCGCCCATGGCTGCAGCCCTCTTCATGGAGTAAGGAGTCCAGAGGGGTCATATGCACCTAGAACACATACTCCTCCCCCTTCTAGACCACATTCTGGGTATTTGAGACCCTAAAATTCCCTGTCCAAAAGGCCCCAAGCCTGTCTGTTCTCAGAGGGACAGATGACAGCACCAAGCAGTAGCAAAAGGGAAGGTGGTTTGGGGGCAAATGGCCAGAGCTTGAACACTCAGGTTAGGGTGTCCTCAGGCTCCCTGTGGTGTAGGATGGAGCTGGGTGAGAAGACAGGGGTGGGGAACAGACACTGCTCATTCTACCACTTTCTGGCACAAACTCCACAGAGTCCTAGAATTCTACACTCCAGTCCAGCCTTCCAGGTCAGTAGGAATGAATATTTGTCAAAGTAGAATAGATTGAATATGTTTTAGTTTTGAAGCTTCGTAACGGCTTTTCCATATTTAGCCATGTGGGATATGAGCCTCCATTTGCACTCCTGCCTGAGTCCCACAAATGTCAGGGGCCGGGTAACTACGGCCAAGTAGCAACAATGCTGGAAATATTGATTTTTATGTGACATCCCTTGATCTTTAAATGTTGACAAATAATTCAGTTATCATCATCATCAACACTGTGGGGATAAATCCAGCAGGCTGGATGAGGATTGTGGGCTGCCAGCTTGAAGCCTCTGCAACAATATGATGACAATATCCAGCATCTGTGCAGAATTTTACATCAGCATGTACAGCCCACCATATCCACTTTCACCTTTAATCGTCACAGTGACGCTCTGAGACAGTGACCCATTCTCTAGTTAGGGGAACTGAAGCTTAGAGAGTGTGATAACTGGTTCCAAACCATAGAACTCATGAGTGGTGGTGACAGAATTTCAGGCTACATCTTCAAACTCCAAGCCCAGCCTCCTCTTCAGGGTTACCTATTTCAGCCAACATTCATCAAGCCCCCGTGATCCTGACACTGTGCTGGGCACTTCAACTCTTACAGCTTCATGGATGAGGAGTGGTGGCTCAGAGAGGTTACGTGCTCAGTCTAGGTTGGAGCCGGCTGGAAGCAAGGTCTGACTTCTCTAGAGCCGGAGTTTTGTCTCGAGAAGGAGAAAACCCAAACAAAAAGAAGTCTGTTGGGAAGAGTCTGCCCTCCGCTAAAAGCAGAGGAGCGACAGAGAGAGCCTTTTCTCGGTGACCATATGTGCGCGTTAGAGCCGTATGAAGCTGCAATCTGTGCTCGGAGGTGGGGGTGGCGGGACTCTTACCCAGTTCCTTAAATTAATCAGCTTAAAAGGAATCCATTGTGAAAATAATGTTGTTGAGACAAAGACCTGCACAGACGCCACCATCGGTCTGGAGGCAGTACCTGCCGCAGCCAAGAACGAGGCTGTTGACAAATAGTTGGTTCTGCACAGGCGGGAGTGCTATGACTAGAAGGGGAGCCTGTGTGTCAGACATGGCCCAGGGAGCGTGGGCAACAGGCTCTGGCCCCCACGAGGTCTCAGAGGCGTCACAGCAGCACCTCAATACATCTCGCCTGAGAGCCGATGACCAGATCGATGCCCATTACATTCTGACTGCTCAGGCTAGGCACTCTGCCAGACGCTCCACTTCCACGATCTCGTTCAAGCCTCATAAGAACCCTACAAGACAGGGACTACAAGTTCTGTTTCACAGATGAGGAAACCGAGGCACGGAGGTGAAGTAGCCAAAGGTCACACAGCTGATAACTGGCGGAGCCAGGATCTGAGCCCAGACAGGCAGGTCCCAAGGTCTGGCCTCTTGACCACTGGGTGATACTGCCCGCTGTCCCACAGGCACTGTCAGCTTTGCCTTCAGGGACTAATCAGTTGCTGAAATGTACTCTCTCTATCATCTGAAAAACGGGTAAACAACTGGCAGACGCTGACGCTGCTGGGAGGATTAGATGAGATAACACTTGAAGGAGACTTCACTTGGCGTCTGGCACAGTGTGCAGCCCCAGGTGTTCACAATCTAATCAAAGGCCCTGCCCACCTCCGCAGCCCACCGCCTGCCATTCCTACCCCCATCCCCCTAGCCCGGCCTCAAGGAGCTCTCCACACAAGCTGTGCCCTCACCCCAGCCAACTGCTTCCCAACCTTTGAAGATGCTGCTCCATGCAACCTCCTCAGCCCACGCAGGGGTGGCTCTTCACAGGCCCCTCTGCGCCTCAACAGCCTGCTGTCCAGACCTCTGTTTCAGCACTGATTTCCGGGGTAATCACACGTTCACAGATCTGTTTCCTATAACAAACTTGTCTGAGGTCCAATATGCACTAAACAAAAACAGGCAGGGAACTCTAAGGCTAACACACTACGAAGAGGAAAGGTCTCGTGTACTTGGGACGTCAAGTGTCCCGTGCCATGCACCAACACACTGGCTGACACGGTGGAAGGTTTGCCGAGTCCTTTCAGCAAGCACTGCATCGAAAGCCATAAAAAAATCCCAATGACCCTCTGACCCAGTAGTTCCACTTCTGGGAAGAACTGCAAAGAAGACAATTGACAAAACAAGAAAAAAATTTTTATGCCCAGAATCACCTCTGGATTCTGACGTAAAAACAAACAAGATAAGCAAACAATCTAAATGTCCAAGCACGAAGGGTGGCCAAGTCACCTAGAGCAATACTAATGCCTGTTTGTTGACTATTTACAACTACTAAGTGCCCGTCACTTCACTGTGTCATTCCATCCTCACACACAACCTGGTGGAGCGGGCGGCACAACTATCCCGTGTTACAGGGGGAAGACTGAGCGCAGAGGTCACGATGATATAACAGCTACTAGTACTGAGAGCCCCGTGCCAGGCACACTTCTCGGCCGTTGGGACATTATCTCAGTTACTGCTCACAACACAGCCAGGGAGGAAGCTGCTCTTCACATCCTCCCTTTATCAACGAGCGACCGAGGCCCAGAGACGTTAATAACGTATCCACGGCCACGCTCCTCCAAGTCCATGGTCTTAGCCTCTAGATGCCAGCCGGCGTGCCCCAGGTCACTCAGCAGTCAGCAGCAGAAGAGGGCTTGGGGGCTGGGCACAGCTGCTATGAGACCCTGTGCTTTCTACCGTGAGGTCTTCCTCCCGCCACAGACTGCAAACCACCTCTGTTTTAGGTTGAATTGTGTCCCCTATGAGGTGCTGAATTCCTAACCCCCAGCACCCGTGCAAGTGACCATTTTGGAGACAGGGTCTCCAAATGATCAAGTTAAGATGAGGTCAGTAGAGTGAGCATTAATCCGACATGACTGTGTCCTTATAAAAATGGGGAATTTGGACACAGAGACAGCCATGCACAGAGCAAAGACAATGTGGAACCACACGGAGAACATGATCTACAAGCAGAGGAATGCCTGAAGTGGGGGACACATTCTCCCTCGAAGCCCTCAGGAGGAACCAACCCTGCCAACATCTTGATTTCGGACTTCTCGTCTCCAGACTGTGAGAGAATAATTTCTACTGTTTAAGGCCCCCTGTCTGTTACTCTGTTCCAGCAGCCCTGGGTCATTAGTCACTTATCAGACCACGAGGCAACTAGGAAAATGGCAATAACAGGGCCCAGGTAAAAGTACCTGAGATGCACGTGGTGGTAAAGGGAAAATCAAGGGACAAACCAAGCTAACCCCCTGACCCCTAGAGTGAAATCACACCTGGGTACAGAGAGAAGCCTGAAAGGAAATACACCAGCATAACTAAGATGCTCTCCAACTGGTCCTCCCTGTTCTTCCACATTTTATCCAGCAAGCTTGCATTACTTTAAAAATTTTATACAGCTGGCTTAAAAACATATCTTTGAACCACGAGAATCTAGAGGTATATAAGAATCCTTGTTACGGGCTGAACTGTGTTCCCCCAAATTCATGTGTTGAAGCCCTAACCCCTAGTACCTCAGAATGTGACTGTATTTAAGAAAGGGCCTTCCAAGAGGTAATGAAATCAAAAATGGGTTGTTAGGGTAGGCCCTACTCCAATATGACTGATGTCCTTATAAGAAGAGGAGATTACGACACAGAGAAAAAGAGATACCAGATACGTACACATACAGAGAGATGATCATGTGAACACACTCAAGGAGGTGGCCATCTTTATGTCAAGGAGAGAGGCCTCAGAAAAAACCAAACCCACCAACACCTTGACCTCAGAATTCTAGCCTCCAGAACTGTGAGCAAATAAATTCCTGTTGTTTAAGCCCCCAATCTGTGCTACTTTGTTATGGCAGCCCTGGCAAACTAAGACAAGGAACCAAAGGAGGGCAAGCCTTCCCACAGCCACCAACACTGCAAGTGGGAGCTGAGAAACAGGCGGGGCGTGCCCAGCAGGCAGAGCACGGCTGCTTCACTCACCGAGGCAGTTGTGTCCATCGTGTGCCAGCATGAAGCCGTCAAAGCAGGTACACCTGTAGTTCCCCGGGATATTGATGCACTCATGGACACAGCCCCCGTTGTAGTAGTCATTCTCACACTCGTCGATGTCTGCAAAACGAGAGGCATGAGAGGCATCAGACGAAGAGCCTGGGGGTCCCCTCTCCCCCCACCTGCTGAAGCCACCAGGACATGTGTGGTTAGGGGATGACTCAATAGGTATTCATTGAAGTCCTTGCTGGGGGCTGGGGACCCAAAGATGACAAAGATGAAGATCCTGGCTCTGCAACAAGGCTGGCCACCACCTGGCAGAGCAGAGCCGTGTACCAGGCACGTGCAGGGTACCTTCCAGCTCTCACCACAGTGAAGCAGGCAGGATTCACATCCAGCTCCGCCTCCCTCGAGAGCATCTCAACAATAGTAGCATGTGGGGACCCTGCCTAACGGCCCCCAAAACTGGCTCTCTTCAGCCTATCGGAGAGCCTCCCGGAGATGGAGGGCTCATTACCAGTGAAGCAGGGGATCACATACAATGAACTTTGCATACACCAAAAAGTGTAACCTCTGGATTGAGAGAAAAGTCCATATACTCCCCCCAGTTTCCCTCCACCTCAGCGTCTGAAGCCTGAATTTCTACTGCTCCAGTGTCCTTGTTATAACAAAGGCTTCTGTCTCACAAACAACAGCCAATCGCCTTTGTAAAGGTCACCCTTTTTGCTATTTTAAGTCTTTTTCAACACTTCCCATCAGGGGTCAAAGGGCTATCAGTGCTGGAGTTCCAGAGAGATTTGAGGGACCTCGGAGAATAACAGGAACAGCTTAGTGAACACTCAGAGAGCTGCTTCTGTACCCACGGCCCGCTGGCAGCACCATATGTCATTATCTCTTCCAACCCCACACAAGCCCAACGACGAAGGCACCGTCACCGTTATCCCAATTTTACAAGGGCACTGAAGAAACCGAGGCGTACGGAGGCCAAGACTCTGCCAGAGGTCACACGCCTAGGCAGCGGTCCAAGCGGGCTTCGAACCAGCGCAGCCTGGCTGGGGAGCCCGAGGGGGCCTAACCGCGTCCGTCTCCGGGAGTGGCGAGCAGGGCCGACACCAGGGCACGGGAGAACCGTGGGCGTAGCCTGGGGGCTCCCCGTGACCCCGAACGCGCCCTGGGCTCGCCCTCTCAACCCACACCCATGGCAACCTCCACAGCCTCCGCAGGGAAGCAGGAAACGGGAGCCGGGGGCGCCCCACAGCAAAACAGGAAGTGCCGTGCTCAGTGGAACCGGAAGAGCCCCAGTTAAGCAGAACCGGAAGTGCCTCGCAAGAGGGTACCGCGGGAAGCAGCAGTCCGTCCTCTACCGGGTTGAAGAGAGATTTTCCAGGCCAGGTTCCAGCTATGAAAGCCGGGATGGGGTCAGCCTGCAGAAGACAGGGGATCGAAGGCAAGCCTGGCTGCTCCCTGAAATGCCTGAAGAGCTGGCAAGGGGAGACACCCAGCTCCATGTTCTCTCCATGCTGGTCCGGAGGGCAGAGCTACACACAGAAGCGGAAAGCCCTGGGGGCCAGTTAACGTTCGCAGATGGGAATATCCATCTGGAAGACAGAGCCTGTCTCAAGAGGTAGTGAGCTCCCTGATACTGGAGGTGACCAAGCAGTGTCTGGACCCCCGCCTGCCAGGGACGCTGCCAGCAGAGGGGATAACGTCAGTGAAAACAGCAGCACGAAAGCGCCAGGATACAGAGGCTGGCTTGTGCAGCCTACTCCTGGTGCCCACCCACCCGACCACGATGAGGGAAAAACAAAGTAGGCCGGATGTCCAAAGGTGCAAGAGACAGAAGCTTCCGCCTAAGCTGCCTGCAGTGGCCATCAGCATCAGCTGGGAAGCAGACTCAATTCTGCAAGTCATTTGAGTGGTGTTTAATCATTATATTTAATGCACTTAGAAATTTTAAATAACATTAGAAGAGGATATAAGATTTTACGTTGGGAAGGGCGCATGGTTTATAAAGACTGAGATATTGATTACCTCCCAATCTCTGCAGCCCTAACCTTTTGCCAGAGTCCCAGATACACTGATCCAACTACCTCTCCCCCTGGATCTTCCACAGATACTGCAGGCAACATGGCCCAACTTGAACTCATCAACCTGCACTTCCCTGGGGTTCCCCATCCCAGTGAATGTTGTTATCCTTCCACCTCTCCACTGACATCAAATCAGCTACAAAAGCACGGTTTTTCTACACCCTTCCTATGGTTACAGTCTGCCCGCTGGTCACCTATTTCCACTACCTGTCAGCATGAGCGTCGTTTCTCATCTGATCTGAACCAGCAGCTCCCAAACTGTTCCTTCCCTCCTGTCCTTCATTCAAGCAGGTGACTCAGGAGAACATCCTAGGGTGGACATGTGACTTAGGTTGGATCAGTCAGACTGAGGAGAAGGACTTTTATTCCATGCTTGGGTAAAAGAATTCTCTCTCTCTCTCTCAACTTGTACCTCAGAAGGAAGTATGCAGGTATTTTCTCCTGAAACATACACCAGCCCATTTAATTTTCACAGCAACTCTCTGGAGTAGGTATTTTAACTCCATTTTGTGGTTGAGCAAACTAAAGTGCACAGAGGTGAGGTAATTGCTCAAAGTCACATAGTAAGTGGTAGGGCAAGGATCAGAATAAAGGTCTTCCAGTCTACAAAGCCCATGTCTTTCCTAATAAGTTAGGATGCCCGTGACATGCCAGGCATTGGCAAAGTACTTTATATATGTTATTTCACCCTTGGCCCTTGGCACATTTATGCTGTGTACTGACAAAGTGTTATCCAGTCATCCAAACACCCATTCACACATTCATCCTTCCACTTGATGTACATCCATCCACACACACACACACACAGACACACACACACACAGACACACGCCTATCCATCTGGCAAATAGCCAGCCAGCCATGCATCCATTCATCCAAACACTCATCCACCCACTCATTATCCATCCATCTAGTCACTTCATAAGCTTTCCATTCAAATACCCACCCAACCATCCTTCCATTTGTCTATTCATGCTAAAATCTATCCATCTAAATATCCAGTCAGCTGACCATCCTTCCATTCATCCAATCACCTATTGACCCATCCATTCATCCAGCCAAACATCCACCCATACATCCAGACATGCATGCATCCATCTAAATATTCAGCCAGACATCCATCCTTCCATTCATCTAAACATCTACTCATCTAAATATTCATCCTTCCAAACATCCATTCACTCATTCACCCATCCAGATGCCTAAACACCCATCCATCTATTCATTGATCCAAGCACCCATCCATCTATCCAAACACACACACACACATATCCAACATCTACTCAGTCATCCATCTATCCAGCCAAACATCCATCCATCCATCCATCCATCCAGCCATCCATCCAGCCAAACATCTATTCATCCACCCATCAATTTCCTCAAACATCATCCATCCAAACAGCTTACAAAATACATATAATGAGATTTTCAAAAAGAATAAGATGTTAGGGTGAAGAAAAAAGAAATGAGGGTCGAAGAAGAAGAGAAAGCTGGTGAACGTTGCAGAAATACACTCAGTAATTCCAGCACAATTGCAAACGGTAAGCCGTACATATGGCTCTGAGCTTCCTAGATGCCAAAGCAATGAAGGAAACACAATCACAGAGTCACCACATCCATAACATTTAATTAAACCAGCTATTTTAATGGTGGTAAAGTCTGAGAAAAGTATCACTTCCCCTGAATAGGATAATCATGTGCTCCAGTTTGCCTGGCATAGTTCCAGTTTGTGCCTGTTGTCTGGGGGTAATTATGAACAGCAACCTTTTTATATCAAAATGGCAAACTATTTGTTCACTATACTCATAAGCCATTATAAAGAGATCACCGAATAGTCAATAAAACAACTCTAGCCTTTTCCTTCGACTCCCCACAGTGTAGGCCACAGCAGGTGCCAGTGGGCTGAAGAGTGCAGGATTGTTTGCTGTTTACATCTCTTCCCTTAATCCATCCCCAAAGATTTCCCCCAGATCCGAGCATCACTTAGAACGGCCAGGTCCTCTCCAATCTCTAGGCCTGAAGTGCTCTCACAGGCTTTGGAGGCCAACCTGCTTTACCAGCATCCTGGATGGAGAATGTCTGCTCACAAACCAAATCTCCCTGGATTTTCTGGGTCTGTGCCTTGAATTTTTGTTTTTTAAAATCATGTGAACCTCCTCCTTTAATATATGAGATAAACACACGAATAAATCTACTAAAAAAATCTCTGCCAAAGCAAGTATATTTAAAATTATTGTAAAAAACATATCGAAGAGCCACCAGCCCTGGAGGAGGTGCCACAGGCCTCCAAGACACCCATCAGGCTCAGATCACTTTTTAAGGACCATTAAAGCCAGAGAATGAGGAACAGGCCAACGACATGGGGAGAGAGGAAGGGATAGAGGGAGGCAGAGCCAAGATCTCTGGATGTTTATTCTTAAAAAACTGTTGTGTGGGGCTGGCCCCGTGGCGTAGTGGTTAAGTTCTCGTGCTCTGCTTCAGCAGCCCGGGGTTCACAGGTTCAGATCCCAGGCGTGGACCGATGCACCGCTCATCAAGCCATGCTGTGGCGGCGTCCCATATAAAATAGAGGAAGATGGGCACGGATGTTAGCCCAAGGCCAATCTTCCTCAGCAAAAAAGAGGAGGATTGGCAACAGATGTTAGCTCAGGGCTAATCTTCCTCACAAACAAAACAAAACAAAACAAAAAACTGTTGTGGGTTGAATTGTGTCCCCCCAAAAGATGTATTGATGTCCTAAACCTTGGTACCTGTGAATGTGACCTGATTTGGAAATAGGATCTTTGCAGATGTAATCAAGTTTTAGATGAGGTCATAGTGGATTAGGGTTGGCTCTAATCCAATGACTGGTGTTCCTAAAAGAAGAAGGAAATTGGGATACAGAAACTCAGAAGATGTCAGGACAGAGTGGTGAAGACACATAGACACACAGAGGGAAGGCGCCATGTGAGCAGAGAGGCAGAGACTGAGTGGTGAAGCTGGATGTGAACCAGGGGTGACCACTGCTCCCATTTTACTGACTCAGAGGCTGAG